GGGCTGGGGGGGGGGGGGTAGTGGGAGGGGAAATGGGAATCTAATCATGTCTCTTTTTTAAGTTTGGCAAACAGAATGTTCATACTGATGTGTTGTGCCTTAAAGACAAGACAGCATTTGTGTGTTACAATGTAACTTTGGTTAAAATCTCTGTAGATAATGAAAAGCAAAAACCTTTGTGATCATTCTTAAGATGACCAAATTTAAAATTCAAGCTATCAAAGCTTAATAATGCATCAGCAAGAAACTGAGTATTTGTTGCAATAAGAAAACAATAATAATAAAGGAAAGCTTGTGTTTTATTTGGGTTCTTAATAATTCCAATAATTGTATGAGGCAACTATTTGTGCATCCAACCAGAAGCAGAAGGTTTGGGAAAGACTGTGGGACCTTTACTTAGAAAGTGAAATGTATGTTGAAACCTCGAGTACCCTTTCTACAGTTTTACTGGAGAAAACTAAGAGCCATATTCAAGATGACCTATACTATTTGGAGTCTGACTTGTTGATACGTCTAAGTTGTATAGAGGAAAATATTCTGATGAAAATCATAAGCAAATATCACCCAAACTTTCTTAGAATATGCATGAACATGGCTTAAAATTCACATTGGGTGAACAGGGCTTAAAATAAAGCTAAGTGCATTTATTCCCAATGCCATTGCAAAAATGAAGTGTCATCAGTAGTGGAAGGTGGATGCCCCAGACGGTTTCTAAGGAAAGAAGTGAATCAATGAAAATTTTACCTAGACTATCATCATAAAATAAATTAACAAGTGAGCCAGATCTTGGCAGCGTTACTGAAGTTACAACAGTGAAATAGTATCTGGTTCTCTGTCTTAACACATCCATCCAGTTTCTCTCCATTACAGACCTGCGTACCTTAGTTTCTGGCTGTACCATTACTGCACAATGGACTTCATTCATTGCAAGGAGAGCCTGTCATCGTTGTGTTTGCATGTTTTTTTTTCTTGGTGTGTAGCCCATGTTAGGAACACGATACAGGTTCTCCTGCCATTTCGTATGACATGATTTCCCTTGTGGAAATTTAAGACTTCAAGATCTAGGAGTGTTTTAATGGTGTCTACACCTGCAGTTTTGTGTTTAAAATGTCACAATGCGGAACTTGCCATCCAGCTACTAAGCAGTGCTCCTAACCAGAGGCTGGTCCACGATAATCCATCATCTGAGGCTTCGGTGGCTCCCAAAAGATTGGTGCTTTGTACACTGATCACAACATTTGCTATGGAAATGTGATTTTATTTTCCAAGCTATAAACCTGTATTTCTTTACTGTATGCTAAGGCCATGTTTACATTGGGCAGAAAGAGATTGAGACCCTATTTTGCAGATTTTAAGATTGTGGTTTCATCACACGTAGACCTTAATCTTAATCTTTAAATTTTGTAGCTTTTGGCTACCTCTGCACCAAGTACTCTTGCAGATAGATTAAGGTTGGAATACTTAATAATAAAAACAATAAATCTTACATTTCTATTGGCCTTTAGCTTGAAAATAGTAGTTTTAAAAAATTAAAGAGCTGCATTGATTATCAGTACATAATTCTATTTTGTGCACTAAAACCTTAAATATTTATTACTGTGAACAAAACAAAATTATCTTTACTGTAGAGCCAGGTTCTTTAAATGATAGAATTTTGGCATTACATCGAAAATTTTCACTCTTTTTTTCATATCAAACAGGCAAGGCTTCTTATGCTGCTAAACCTGCAGGTACAGAAAGGAACACCCCTTTACAGGGCAAAGAGAAGAGTCACTGATTACATCAGCAGTACTATATCCCACAGACCTCTTCTCTGATGATGATGTGTTCAGAAGAGGCTGCCAGCCTAAAACCTAAATGCTAGGTTGTTGGAGAACAGCTCGTCTGGCACCACCGTGGTACAGGCCAGTGAGCCCACATCACAGTTTGTCCTGTGACTTTGAGCATGCTCAGGCTAGAACGCTTCTCTTCCTCCCCCTTAGGAACCCAAGATCCTATTCCTTTCTGATCTTAAAAACAAAAGATAAACCAACAAACAAAAAAGCCCCTTTGGAAGTTTCCATGTTCTGTTGACATATAGGATATTGTACCTTATTATAAACCAATTTGAAAATGTTTTGTCACGGACATGGGTTTTTGGTTCCTATATGTACAAACTTGTGATATCACCGGGACAGGTAACCACCTCGTGTTGCACCTGAAAAATAGCAAAACAGGTGGCCCAGCTACAATAGTGTCACAGACAAGATTAAGTCATTACACCCTGCAAAGATTTGTAAATCAAATTCAGAGGCAAAAAAATATTTTAGGATCATGCAATTTGTGCACAAAAAGTAGATAATAACACTCTAAAAATGTTTTCTCCCTTAGTCTCTGGTGAGCTAAGATTCAAAATAGTGTCAACAGCATGCTCAGTATGAAGGTTTTTGGGGTTTTTTTTTTTAATGCACATTTGTTTATGACAAGCCTGCATTCTCAGTGAATATGGCATTTAGTATTTCTTTTAAAAACAAACAAGCATCTTGAGCCAAAGTTGCATTTTTGACTCCCAACTATGGTAGCATTATGGAAATCTAACAAAGTCAAGGGTTTCTGTTACGTATTAGTAAAGTATAGATTATTGGGGCCTACATAATTTAAAGAAATGTAAATTAATATTAAAAGCTTGTAAAAATATGTATATCTTTACTATTTCTCAATAAATACCTTTGGAAATGATTTCATTTTCTTCACCCTCCATGTCGTAGAGTTTCTGTTGTGTGTATTAAGCTTGATTCTAAATAACGTGAAATTTGTATTTAGGCTTCTTGCTGTCTTCTTACCTTCCCTTGTTTGTGCCTAAATTGCATAGTTTGCAGTTAAGGCAAGCTGAGCTGCAACACAGTAAAATGTCACTAATTAAGACTAAAAGTGGGCTGATGTACTGAAAAAGATGTGAGTACCTCGTTTTTTACATACAGGTAGTTACATTAAAGTATAATGCATAATGTAGTCACTAGTGACAGTGACTACATTAGTGATAGATGTATCATTAGTGATAAAATAATACCATTTAGAATATTTAAAGCAAGCTCCCTTTAGATGAATATGGGACATGGTTTATAAGTAGCTTCCAAGAGTGATAAAGGAATGTTTTTCTGAAACAGATATAACAGCTTCTTTATTATCTTGTGTATAGTATTGATTTACTTGCAAGTCTGTTGTTCAAATGCAAACCAAAGGGAAATTTCAGACCAAGCTCTTTCACAACTTTTTAAAACATCACCCTCCAAATTGATGAGTAGGTCCTTATCTCTAAAACTGCACATGCTCATCCAACACTTCTGTCATTTCCCTGCTTTACTGTTAAATAATACTTAGTCCTTCTTATAGTTATCCAACATGACACATATTTTATTTATCTTTTGTATTAGATGACTCACCTACTAGAATGTATGTTCTGTGAAGGCAGGGATTTGTTTTGTTTTGTTTTCTTAACTTCTATATAACCAGTATCTAAGAAAGTGTCTGGCATATAATAGGTACTCAAAAAACATTTGTTGAGTGAATGCATAAACCATAGGAAAACATCTATATGATCATGGTTTGGAATTAAAGAAATTTAAAATGGTAGAGTTAGATTTTTTAAAAAAGAAGAAAAAGAAAACATACAGGTAAGTTTAGATGGGACCAATGTAAATTTTTACAACTTAGCTGGAGTGTTTACTGACCTAATAATTCATGAAAATAAAGAGCAATAAGCCATAAGCATAGGTGTATTTGGAAGAAAGTTATACATGAGCTGGAAAGTTATACATGAGGAAAAGAAATATGTTCATAATGAATCAATGATTTCTTCCTCTTCCTTTTACTCTTTTCTTTAAAAAAAGAATATGCAACATTGGTAGATTTAGTTGATTTAAATTACTTAAAGCCACAAAATATTATGTAAAAATCAGATCTATGCAGACTCTGTGGTTCATGATTCTGAATCCCAGAAACAAAAAGATGAAAGAAAGAGAAGTGTATGATTTTCCTTAGGTAGCAAAATGTAACCATTGTTTAATATCTGTGCATGGTTTGCATTTATTTATAAAAAATCAGTTATTGGATGTAGCGATACATATATTCTCATTCACTGGTCACTTCTCAAAGCCCTCTCAAATCTAACCAGGCCAAAGTCAATTCTGGGGATGTACTCTGGCCAAGAAAGATGTTTGCACACAGCAAAAATAATTCCAAGCTCTGACTTTAAATGCCTGACTTTCCTTCCAGAGGATCTTCCAGGATTGTGTTAGCACAGAGTCTGAAAAATGTGGAGACATGATGTGCTAAGAAATCTCTGACAAAGCAGATATATACAAGCCAGATGCTCATTTTCCCTCCCCGTGAAATACATTTTGATGGGGCTTGTGCGGACACTGTCTCTACAGCTAAAGGGCACTGTATTGTCCTTTGTAGTCATGAAGTCTAGGAGTTTTGTGCCTGGGAGCTGCGATGATGATGTCAATCTAGTTCTCTGGGGAGCCTTCCGGGAAATACAAAGAATTGAATGAGAGCATATGTGTCGGAGGCGGTGGAAGAGCCATCAAGTCAGTCTTCACAGAACCACAGCTGGTAGGGCTGACCGTGAGCTCAGCACACTCCTGACCCTCGGTTCGGTGGCGGAAGTTGTGAAGACAGTGTGTGAAAGGCGCCACGATGGGTAAGCGCATGGTACTTGGCCAGTAACTTGCATATGCACCTGACCAGCCCACAAAGGGAGAATTCCTGGACAAGATGATTTCCAAGCTGGAATTCCACTGGCAAAATGGAGAAGGCCAGGGAAAAGGGGATGGGAAACACCCAGATAAAGTGGAAAAAATGTATATGAGGCTGTAGGTAAGAGAGAGAAAAGTAGAATGATGTGGTCAAGGAGCTGCAAATAATTCCTGCTTCTGAGGCACAGAGTAAAGATAGGAAATAGTAAGAAATGAGGCTGGAAAATAAACAAGGGCCAGATCATGAAGTTTTCCAATACACCGTGAATCAATTTTGATTTTATCCTGGGATAAGTAGTACTCAATGAACCGTTTATAAACAAAGGATTTATGCGTCTGGATTTATGCTTGATAACAGTTTCTCTGGCAATGCATTAGAGGTAAGGGATCTAAGAGGATCCCAGAGAGTTATTGATCTATTCCTGAATTAGGGGATGGCCGTGAATATGGACATACACAGACTCAAAAAGATTAAGATGCTAAGAAGAATGAGGACTTAGCAATCATTACTGCTTCTCAGGTAAATCCAGCCTGCCTTCTACGTTTCTGGTTTGGGAAATTTGGAAGATGCAGTGCAGTTCACAGAGATCAGAAACAAAAGAGAAGGAAAAAAGCTTCTGGTTGTTTTTTTTTGCTGGTGGTGGTGCTTGTTATTGAAGGAAGACACTGAGTCCAGTGTTTGAAAGTGTTCATTTGGAAGAATTGTTCTGTGTAAAGCTGAATTTGCAGCAACTTCCTGGCTGTTTCTTAAACACCCTACTGCATCATAACTGAATTACTCTGAAAGCAGTCCAAAAATCTAAATAATTTCATCTGATCATATCAGTTAGTCATTTAAGAAACATTTAGCATTGTGCAAACTTGAGACAGCACAAGTGAAAGTTGGGAAAGATGGAGGTAATGTAGAATGTGAAGGCACAATGCACACCAGGGAACATTATTGGGGGGGACCAACTGATTTAACATGCTGCTCCCCATATCCTGCCTTACCCCAGTTTCCAGTAAAGATAAACCCTGGTTTACAACCCTGGAGAAATTCAAATGCCTCTGTGAAATTTTTGTCAGTAAATGACAGATGATTTAATCACTTATTCTTAGATGGATTCATGTGTTCACCCAAAATATGGCTTTCATTAGGATATATGTTTTGGTTGAATAAGCTAGTTCATGAGAGTGGGCAGTAATAACATGTATGTGAACAGAAATTGAAATTAATGCCAAACACACACCTGCAAAGCTATGCTGTTTGGCTCATGAAATTCTACATCAGTTATGGGAACAGCAGGGGGTGGAGGTAGGGGAGACACTAGAAAGGGCTCTGAAAAGAAAAGTGGTCTAACACATCATTTTTTAAATTTGCATTTAGAGTTTTACAAATGACAAGTGCATTTTCCAAGTTTTGAGGACCCACCCCTCTTCTCAATAAAATCTACTACCACATACTATTACCCCTTTCGGCAATATGCATTGTTACAAGGCTTGGCTCAAGAACTGGTTTCTAAGAATAGACAAGGGAACATTTTCTTTCTGTCTGTGCAGAGTGTGAGTATTCATTCATGCTCCTTCTCTCTGTGTGAAGCCTTTATTGTTGTTGTAGTTTTACTCGTCTTACCTCAGCAGTGTCAGCTGGGTGGAGACAGTGGGTACCACTGAAGTGAGGTGAGCAATGGGAATGTCTTGCAGTCTTGCTTTGATTTAGTTGGTAGCTTTGGAGTCAGCTCTAAAGGAAGAGAGCGTGCCAGAGGAGGAAGAGGAAGGAAAGTAACATTTGGAGACATATAATGAGCCAGGAGCTTACCCTATATGACCTCATTTAATGATCACATCCCTGAGAGCTGGTATTATTAGTCCTATTGTATAGTTTAAGTGACTTCCGGAGGTCACATGACTGGTGGGTGGCACAAATAGAACTGGAAGGTAGGTCTATCAGGTGGACCATCTGGGCTGCAGAGTTATGCTCCTTGCACTGTATCTGGCTGTCCACCTATTGTAATTAAGTTGCTCAGAACTTGTAGAATTATGACCTGAGGAAAAGTGCAATCAAGAGCAGGTGAGGCGAAGGATGGATTGGGAGTTTGCAGTTAGCAGATGCAAACTATTATATATAGGATGGATAACAACAAGGTCCTACTTATAGCACAGAGAACTGTATTCAATATCCTGTGATAAACCATAAGGGAAAAGAATATGAAAAAGAATATATATGTATACATATATATACACATACACACACATATATGTATACTGAATCACTTTGCTGTACAGCAGAAATTAACATAACATTGTAAATCAACTATACGT